TGAAATGACAGTCTTATTATCTGCTCTAATTAAAAATATTTCATGCAATAATATTTCAAATTTCTTAATTGCCTTTTTATTGTCAATAACTCGTTTTCATTAATATGAGACTTTTGTTCAGTAGTTGTATATGTACCTGAGTTGTATCTACACAAAAGTTCAGTATCATTACGCCGAGCTTTTAAGATTGGTCCCCAAGCTAATTCCAAACTGTCAATTTCTATAATTAAAATAGTGACCAGGTATAAGTAAATGTAATTTTGGAAAATTTTTACATAAATCTTTAATCTGTTGTAAAATTTTTTGATCTTTTTCATCCAAAAAAACAAGATATATTTTTTCGTAAATTTTTTTGTAAAGGGACACCTAATTCATCAAGATTTTATATAAATAGCTCAGCAAAATAGATACATCCTAAAAAAGTGTTGCAGATCTTTTTCATTAGTAATTTGTTTAAAATAATCAATTTTTTTGTTAAAACAAGTTCTTGTAATTCAATTGCATTTTTATCTATAATAACTCATAAGAATTCAATAGTATTAGTCACTAAGATAACTTTCTTTTTGCTTAAGGTTATTCAATGTTTTTGGGCTTTTTTGTGAAAATAAGGTTAAATGTTTTAAATGTTGGGTAATAGTTTGATTAAATATTAGAATAACATCTACATAAATAAGGCAGCAACACAAAGCCTAAATCCCACTACGTGGGGTCGGCCACATGAATTTTTTCTCCATTGTGTCATATTTAATGTCATATTTTCATTTAGTTCTAATAAATTAAGATCATTTTTTATACAATAAGCCCAAGTTTTCCTAATTTGCTTTTATTAACCTAAGTCGAATCTAAAACTTCTGCTCTCCTAATAGGATCATCAAATGGTCGACGTTTAATGTGACCAAACTATCTAAGACGACTCTCTATAATTTTGTCCGTCACTGGAGCTACACCAACCCTATCACGGATATATTCATTTCGCATTTTGTCTCTAAGTATAAAGCCAATCAACCACCTAATCATTCTCATCCCGACAACACTTAACTTAGTATTATGATTCTCTTTTAAAGTTCAACATTCAGCACCATAAAGCATTGCAGGTCTTACCACCATCTTATAAAATTTTCCTTTCAGTCAACGGTACTTTCTTGCTCAAAGCATTCCTCCACTTCAACCAACCAACTTGAATTCTACCATTAACATCCCCATCTATATCACCATCGCTTTGAACAACAAACCCGAGATATCTAAATCTTTCACACCTTTTAATAATTTGATCACCCAAAGTTACACTTGTGTCAGTAGAGCTACTACTACTAAAATTACATTCTATGTATTCAATTTTAGTTCTACTCAAATGAAGGCCTTTAAACTCAAATGTAGTCCTACATAATTCATGATTTTCTTGCATTTTTTCTCTCGTCCTATCCACGAGAAGGATATCATAAGCAAAAAGCATACACCAAGGTACATCCTCTTGTAAATGTCCAGTAAGATCGTCCATAACTAAAGCAAAAAAGATACGGCTTAAAGTCAATCTCTGATGTAATCCAACAGAAATAGAAAAATATTTGGTCAATCCTCCTTCAATTCGAACACAAATAACAGCTCTAGTATACATATCTTTAATGACTTGAATATAAGTCATATCAAAACATTTATTCTCAAAAACTCTCCAAAGGATATCTCTTGGAACCTTATCGTAAGCTTTTTTTAAATCAATAAAAATCAAATGTAGATTCTCATTATTATCTCTGAACTTCTCCATCAAACCTCTTAATAAATGTATTGCTTCCATAGCGGCATAAATCCAAATTGATTATGAGAAATCTTTGTAATACGTCTTAACCTATATCCAATTACCCTCTCCCACAATTTTAAAGTATGACTTATCAACTTAATTCCTCTATAATTTGCACACTCTTGTGCATCCCCTTTACTCTTAAAAATGGAGACCAAAATACCCTTGCTCCACTCCTCAGATATATTTTCAGTTTTAAAATAATATTAAAGAGTTTAGTAAGCCACGAAACTCCAAAATATCCTAAATATTTTCATACTTCAATTGGAATATCATCAGGTCCTACAGACTTTCCACCCTTAGTTTTCTTTAAAGCCTCATCAACTTCTTCTTCAATAATACAACCATAAAAATGAAATGTTTTATTATTATTAACGATATTAAAATCACTAAGATCGACCGTATTTTCAGAAACTTCATTAAAAATTTTATCAAAATAACTCACCCACCTATGTTGAATATCTTTTTCTAAGAAAAGCACTTTTTGATTTTCATCTTTAATGCACTTAAGTTAAATTTTCAGTTTTTTTTCTCTTTGTTTGGCTAGTTTATACATATATTTTTCACCATCGTTAGTATCTAAACTATTATAAAGAACATTAAAAGCAGAATTTTTAGCATCACAAATTGTTCTTTTAGACTCCCTGCGGGTCATTTGATATTTTTCCCAGTTCTCTAAACTTTACAATTAAACCAATTTTTATAATGTAACTTCTTATATTTTATCTTTTCTTGCACATTATTATTTGACCACCAACTATTTTTATTTATAGAAACTTTTTCTTTTGATTCTCTAAGTACATCTTTTGTTACTTATTTAATAGTATTTACTACTTTATCACACATAGCATTTGCTTCATCATTAACATCCCAAATTTCAAAATCTTGAATTTTACTCATAAAAATAAATTTATTTGTCTTTAGGGTTCCCATTTAATTCTATGATGATGAGTCCTGGTATTCTTTATTTTACAACTCTTAATCTTAAAATCTATAACTAATAAACAATATTGGGTATAGATTTTAAGATTAAGAGTTGTAAAATAAATATCTCTTTTTCTCATAAGAAAATAATCAATTTATGTTTTATTAGATCCATTTTTATAAGTAATAAAATGTTCATCTCTTTTCTTGAATGAAGTATTAGTAATTAGAAAATCATACGCTAAAGCAAAATAAAAAATAGCTCTACCTTCTTCATTAGTCACTCCAAAATTGTAGTCACTATAAATATTTCTGAAATCTTCTACCACTCTACTGACATGTCCATTTAAATCTCCTCCAATAATTTTTTTTTCTTCAAGAGGTATCATTTGTATTAATCATGAAGGGATACAGTTGACACTACCCAACGTCGTGGATGTAGACAGATTCTCATCAAGAAACCTAGGGAGCCTAAAGCTCTCACATATTTCTGCCTCATTCCAAAATCCCCTAATAAAACACAAGGCCATCTCTTTCTAACAAAACTCAAACCTTAAATCAAATGCAAGTAAATGAATGAAAATGCCCTTACTAATAAATTGACCCACAACTTGAACTTAAATGACTCGACCACACTTTACCTAGATCATGACTAGCCACTCAGTGTCATTCCCCTCGAGTATGAGGACCTTCTTCATTTCTTGATGAGCATATGCCTCGACTAGAATTAGAATGAATTCTTCATTGGTTCTTGCAATAGTCCTTTGTAGAGATATATTAGATCAATCAAAAATGAGTAAAAGCAGGGAGAAGAGTTTGTGTTTTCTTCAAATGATGGGGTCTTGGAATGAATGCTCACGGTTGGATCAGCAAGAATTGGAAGAGGGCTCAGCAGCTGAGAGATCAAGAGTTGAGAGTTGGATGAGTTGTTGAAATAAGCGGTGAGATAAGGCTTGCTACAACTATGCAATAAAATCAGTTTCCAAAATTTTGGATTAATAAAAAACTCTCAATTTGACAATGAGATCAAATAGTTGATATCACATGAGAAGGAAATTGAATGTTCTTGGTTTGCATGCAGCTAAAGTGTACAAGGATATCTCCCATAAATCAGGTTAATAAAATATACTAAGCAAGAGCTTTCGACAATGAGTAACATGCAAAAGCTTATTAGGTTTGAGATATCATAAGTTTGGATCTCTCTTGGATATTTCCTTAGTAAGTGCTTGGAAGCTAGATAGTAGAAATCAATCAATGTTTTTGCATTGGAAGAACTATATCTTTCTTTTGAATGCAATCACTTTGTTGTAAGGTTGTATGCAGCTTTTTTTCTTGAAAGTTGGATGTTCTTAGGCTTTAGGAAAGGTCGAAAAATGTTCTTATTCATTTGTAGTTTATTTGGTGGATCAAATACTCCTCTCTACAGATATATGCTTATTTTAGTTGAGTCATACAAATCATATTGTATCTTTTGTAGGGCTTTATACCATAGTTTTACTTAATGGTTCATCATACTCACTCCTAATTAGAGCCTTCTAATAAATTTAAGTGGTACTTCCTAATACCAAAAATGTTCAATTAAAGAGTTATGTATTTAGAGAATTTCCTCGTACATACAGTTTTCAAATAAGCATCCTTTGATTGCACAAAAATGAACATAAAACCTAGGTTAACTAACAATGCTAATTATCAACCAAGATTGCACATAAACCCTTGGTTAACCAAGGTATTATACATAGAATGGTCAATGAACAAAACTATCAGATTACGAGATAAGCAGGTTAAATGCCATTGGAGAAGCATTAATCTATTCATAACTGCTAAGTATACTTTATTCAGGTGGATCATGTACAAGACGCACTCACTGTGAATTTTAGAGAATACCCAATCCAAACGATGATACATTCTTATTAGCAAGTAAAATCTACTTCTCCATTGAAAAAATCTACTAACACTACCAAAGTTAGAATTCTAAGTAGTAGTAAATGTTTTTAGAATTCGAAACATCACTTAAAACGTGCTGTATAGGATATAAACTTAGCTAAGATACACAAATATAAACATGGAAAGCAAGCAGCAAAGAGATTCAGATCTCAAAACGCGATACCAGTCCCAAAAAGGGTTCTCCTCATCTAAGAGCAAATCATTGCGCAAATATTAATCTACCCACAACTATGTGAGAAGCAGGGGGATACGCATTCGAATTACCCTCTCTAACAAGAATGCATAAGAATTGGAGAAAAGAAAATACTTCAATTTGAAAAATGAGATCGACATTTACATCTGATCGAGCTGCTTGTTAACCTCCTCCACTTCCTCCAGATCCGTGAGCAGTTGCCGAACGATGGCCCCGTACGTGAGAGTGAAAAGTTCCGCATTCTGCAGAAAATAAATTTTAGCACGCGTAAAAATAAAGGAAGAATGGGAGACCGGGTAAGTGGTGGCGAAGGAGATTAGGGTTTCGTTTCAATTGTTACTTACAACGCGCTCAACGTTCGCGAAGACTGCGTCGCCGGACCTCGGAACGACGGGAGCCATGTCAAAATGAGAAGCCGGATCGTAGTGGGATAGCAAGGAGGAGTAAGCCTCTAATCGGCGGTGAGATCGTTGGGTGGATTTGGACGACGGCGACACCGTCAGATTTATATTCAACAAAAATAAAGTATAGAACTAAACTCAACCCAAACTAGAACAAATAGACTACCTAGCATAACTAAAGAGATCTTTTCTCCTAGGCCCATCAAATAACAAAAACACATCCATTAAAAGAGGTGTTTGGTACCTTATATTTAGTTGGATTTAAGTGTTAAATTAACTTAAATCCTGCCAATGCAAAAAACAAGTTAAATAAATTTGATGTCATGTTAACTCCATTTTTCTCCCATTCCGTAAATTTTGTGACTTAAATCAGAATTTATTAAATCCAGTATTAGTTGGATTTAGCTTAAAAGAGAAACTCTTCAAGGAGACTTATGCAAAACACATTAAATGGATTTAACTAGATTTAATCTTAATTGAACCAAACAATATTTTAGATTTAACAATATTTTGAATTGATAAATATGAATTTACTATATCTTATTTAACATAAATCCTACATGCAGTCAAACACCCCCTAAGAGAATAAAGAAGTTGAGAAAGAAATAATAGATCCAAACTAGCCAAAAAGAAGCAAGCCTATAATGAACGCCTCCTAGAGACCTTCTTCACATGTAACAAGAATAGTCACCTCACATCCATCAAAAGAAGCATGTCTTGAAAGGCGCCCCATATTTACTCAGATTCAACAAAAACAACCACCAAAAGAATTTCTCAATATATTTAACTTCAAATCAGTATGCAAAACCAAGCGAAGAAAAACACAGAACAAAGAAAGAATAGAAAAAAAGAGAGATTTAGAAAGATCCAAAAAACACAAATCATAACAATATCCAAAATTAAGTAATAATAATAGCAAAGAAAGACCACATAACACATCAAAGAATGAGATGACACCAAGAATGTTGAGCTCAGAAACTTATCTGCAAGAAAAGCATTAAAATTCCTTTTAATATTATTAATATTTAAAATTAGATTATCATAACTATTCAAAAATATGGTTGACTTTTAAAAAAAGGTGGAAAACATTATAGCCTAACCAAACTCAGCATTAAAAGTAAACATCAAGTATAGATATGATCAAATCAAAAGTAGCCAACATATAACAAACTCCAAAATCCAAAATAAACACATCAAAAAAAGAGAACAAAATAGCAACAAAAAAAAATGAATCTAAACTAGCCAAAAAATAACAACAAACTGAAAAAATCAAAACTACCTGCATATGCAACAGAAACAAACACTAAAGGAAAACCTCAATAAAGCCAACATCAAAACAATCCATAATAAAAACTAAAATTCCATCCAACTATTTAAAATATTTAGAATCAAACCATCCCAAGCATTCCAAAAATGGTTGCATCCAACTATTTAAAATATTTAGAATCAAACCATCCCAAGCACTCCAAAAATGGTTGAATTTTATAACAAGATTAGAAATCCCCAAAGCACAATCCAAAACTCAAAAATCAAAGGAAAATACACAACATAATTGCTCACACAAAATCATCAAAACTGAAAATGCTCAACCAAAACGACCTAAGAGAAGTATAAGTTATAAAAAAAATATGAAACAAAAAAGCAAAAGAAAACCACAGCAGAGAAAAAAAAATTGCTCTAATAAAAAAAAGAAGCATTAATCAAAACTAATAAGAAAAAACAAAAATAAATAAAATTAAAAAAAATAAACAAGAGAAAAAATTGCAAAAATGTCAAACACGAGCACAACCATCTAATAAAGAATCACTATCCATGTTTTAGAAATTAAGCAAAGCATCCAGAGACATGGATGCTAAGATTGATTTCTAATCCTAATTGTATTCCAATAAAAAAAAAGAGCACATCAACCCATAACCCTACAAAAAAAATAACAAAAAAAGAAATCAGCAAAGCAAATCAAATTAACCAACACAACCAAATCTACAAAAAGGAGAAAAGAAACAAGTTAATTCAACTTAAAAAAAACTGCAAAAGCTATAAAAAAACTTAAATAAATAAGAATATCAAAATTTATAAAGTGCTTTAATATAAGAAGAAATATCTTCTTTAAACTTTAATTCTAATCTTTCACTTAATGGCCTCATGAATATTATAAACAAGGATATCTATATAAGAACTAGAATTCTTGAAGATCCTTTCATTCCTCTCCCTTAAAATAAAATAGGTTGTAAAATGAACAGCCAACAAGTAAACTTTCTTAATAATAAAATAAGATGAGGAATCCACTTGAGAGAGAATATGCAATACACCATATAAATAATAAAAATTCTCATAAGGACTGCACCTCTTTAATAAAGTATTAGCAAAATTGCATTCACAGAAAAGATTATTATGGGTATCCTTATGATTCAAGCATAAAACATAGGCATTATTAACATAAATAACTCTAGGAATCAAAACATCACAAGTTTTAAGACCATTGTTTAAAATTCTCCAAGTAGTGAGAACAAATCTAAAAGAATATTCTTTGAACCAAACATAAATATTCCAACAAAAAATATAAGAGCTATCAAAAATAAAATTATACATGAATTTATGAACATACTTATCAAAACTTTTCTAATGACAAGCGTTAAAGCTTTTTTAAATAGGATTAATAGGAATTAAATTCAAACAAATTTAAACACTTTAGTAAAATCAGGAAGATTAAACTAATTAAACAACACATACCCAAACTTTACAAAAATGGAAAAATTATTCAACCAATGTGTTTTGGTTCTTTTTCTATTTTTTTTAAATTTTAGAAAGAGTCGTAAGCTTGCATATCATCGTATAATTCCATTTTTTGAATAAGTCACTCTTTTGGATCATATAGATGATCTGGAGAAGAGATGAATTAAGAAGATAATAATACACAAAGAAGGAGATAAACAAGAGAAAGAATGTGAACAACCTATGTGCGATAAACCTCGTGTGATAGGTGACACAAGATTTGTATATGCAAATATTTACAAAGTTGACACCACTCAACGACACCAAAAACTTGATACATACAAATTTATAATAAATATGTGATATAATCCTAATAAAAATACTCTTTATAAAAAAAATTTATTTTTTAAAACTCTTTTTAAACTGAAAAATCTACCTTTAAAATCAACACAAGTAGACGTATCGCTCAAGTAATAAAGGACTCTAATGAAGTCCTAGATATTGATCCCACAAGAAAGTTGAAAAATCATAAAGTAAATTATAAAAATTATTTTATAATAAAAATAGAAAATAAAAGTAAAGTGATAAGTTTGAAATTTGACTACTCAGGTGAATGCTAAATAAAAGTAAAGTGATATATATATATTGTTTTATGCCAAATATAAGCAATCTTATTCTTTACCCTCTTCCGAGTGCTATAAAGAACATTGGCTAATCCAGAGTTTGGTCCTTAATTCTGGTTGGGTGGGGGGGATCCGGGCTGCCACTCCAGAGCTCCCACTACTCCCTCTCCTGAGAGCTAACAATCGCGCATTAGTTTCCAATCAACTGAACCAAATTGTTAGTTTTAATTTGTCACGTTAAAATCTCTAATTTTCCATCCAACAAAGTATATTTCCCTATTTATTTGCACCCAATCTCATGGATGACATACTCTCCCATGAAATCAAATGTGATTCTCCTTATGTTGTAGAAAATATATCTCATTTAAGAACATATATCTCTCAACAAGTTTTAACATTTCAATCGGTCAGATCGAAAAGTAAATGAAAATTAAAGTTCAAATCATCACAAATTACTATCCTTTAAAACCGTGGAAAAAGAAAATCTATTCTTCACAAAACCATATCTTCAAAGTAAAGAGAAGGATAAAGAAGACCACACAGACTTCATAAGAAGGATACAATCAAACACAAATTTCATATATAAAAACAAGTTTACAAAACAAAAGAAATAAAAATACAACTTATCTCACAATCCTTCCCAAGAAAATCCTTAGAAGTTCTCTCCAAGCCTTTCTTTCTTTACAATCACTCCTAATTCTCTCTTAGAAATGTAATGAAGAAGAAATCTCTCACCTTCCCTCTTCTCTTACAACCCTAGGAGAAAATCTCCTCCTCTCTCTCTCTAACTCACTTCACTTTCTCTCTCCCTCAAGTCACACACACACACCCACAAGTCTTCTTCTTTAAGTCTTCTTCTTTTATTTTGGGTCTTCTTTTATTTTGGGTTTCCTCCTTTGGAAAAGAATTCAAAATTCCCTCCAAAATTCTCTCCAAAAATCAACTCTATTGAATTCAAATGATGTGGCATTTGATCCAAGAATCATATCCCTTCATAAGAGAACCTTCCAAAGTGTCAAAATGCATTGAATTACTCCAAAAGGTGTGTAGAATAAGTGTCCCTTTGAAAATTCATGCAAAATTCATCTCTAACAACCTTAATTTGAAAAAGTAGTCTCTGACGCATCATGCGTCAGTTCTCTGGATTTTGGCGCATCATGCACTGATCTGGCGAATGATGCGCCATAATCCAAAATTAGTTCTTTTTGCTCCAAATTTTGTCATTTTTGTCAATTTTTCTCCAAATGCCTAAAAATGATATATCAACAACAAAAACATAAAAATACTCTTCTTTAAAGTGCAATATCACCAAAAATAAACATAAAATATGTACTTAAAATAATATATTTTGGTATATCAAAATCACCCAAACTTAAAATGTTACTTGTCCTCAAGTGACACTTTTATTACATAAAAGCATATGACTTATGATAGATATTAACTTATAACTTCTATACTTTGGTTTACTAAATAGAATAGTAAAATTTAAGAAAAAGCCCTTAATAACTTAGATTCAAACTCAAAGTCAAGAATACTTAACAATCAAATTTAAGATTTCTGAATCTCTAATAATTTTAAGAAAAATTGCAATTTGTTATATTAAAGACATTTAGAACATTCATATGAAAAAGAATTTCATGAAAACTTTACTATGAATGTTACTAATACTCCAATATAAGTTTAGAAAATGTAATAAAGCTCCTTCCTTAAGTTGATTCAAGTGAAGTCAATTTTTTATTAGACATCTCCTCAAGCTTCTTCTCACTTATTTTTCTTTTCTTTTTCTCTCTCTTTTTTTTTCTTTTTTTCTTTTAGGATCTTTTCAATCCTTTCTTTTATTTTCTTTTTCCAAGGATTACCATATCTGGATAGCCTTTA